TGGGACTCCAGTACCTTCCGGCCCTGCCGGCTAACTAACACCAAACCTCTTCAGTTTTACTTGGAAGTGTGTATGTCTAATTCGAGTGAGGTGACATTTAGTGAGACATTAAATAAGTCAGGTCTTATTTTATCATTAGCAAAGGATCTTTATGCCTTTTGTTGTCGGTTGTTTTGTATTTATATTTGGGTAGTTAGAGCAACGATCGTGGGTTTCTCTGCCATGATGTTTCCCCACAGTAGCTCTAGGTGAGCCTGGCACTCTCATTTTATGTTAAATGGTTGTTAATGTTTTTGTTGTTCATTCTATTTGTCACATGTTTAATTTGAAGACTGTTGTACGTAAATAATAAAGTTAGGTGTATTTACTCTGCTTTTGTTTTATAAAATTAAACCATACTTCCCCTCTTTAAAGTAGTATCCAGCGCCTTCCGGTCAATTAAAAAATAGATGTATACAACGTAGTTACTCCTCATGACGATCACATATTTTTGGCCACAACTACGTTTATTTTTTTTTCGATCGAACCCGGGGTTGTTATGCTACACCATATATCATGACAATAAGAAAAATTGCTACTTCTTTCGTAATTTAACCGATTTTACAGTGTTGGATTATTTTAAATCACCAAACACACGTATTGTTTAATTTCATTCATTTACCTCTAATCATTTACTTATTTCAGTCTTTAGAACCAGATTAAATGAAAGAATTAATGGAAATTTCAATAAGGCAATTATATCTTACGTACGGCAAAAATTCAGCGTTGTTTAAGTAAAGAGCTTATCTTAATTGAAGTTAATTGTTTAATTTTAAGAGACTAGATGCACTTCCTGTTCCATTTGTGGTAAATTAATAATGACGAATTTATTGTCTGTTGTACTAATTAATTCATATCGTATTGAGTCAACAAATTAAATCCAATTTTGTGGCAATTATTTTATAAAGAAATGGGAAACTGTAAACTGATACAGCTTTATGAAGAATTGATATTAATTGAGGAAAATAAATATGAAATAAATCAATACGAGGTGACTTAGTTGATTCAAATCAATATATTATCTATTTTGTTTCTATTTTCAAATTGGCATGCTTTGTTATGTCATTCTAATAAGTACCCATGTCACTCTGTATGCATACAGTCTTATCTACAAAACTTTATAAACAAGATTGAGTATAATTTTTTATACAAATATGATAATAATGACTAATTAACTCCTTGTTCAAATATTATGTTCTAATTAATTTTGAACCAATCATGTCATATACCAAAAAAAACTCAAGTCTACTGAAATTTTATCGTAAACCACATAGGGTAAACGGAGGCAACAAGGGTCTAGCCAAAATATGTTTACATATTATTATATCTTTATATTTCTTTTACTTACGATCAAGTAAAAAATATACATAAAGATTACACACGTGATCTCACGCGAAAAAATAAAAGCTTTAAAAATGTGTTTTTTTGGTAAAATCATAGTTTCATGATATTATACAGGGTGTTTCTAAAATAGGGTTCCAAACTTCTGCTGCGTTTATAATTCATTAAAATAAGCCAAAAATTTCCTATTAACATGTGCCCTAAAACGCACCCTTAAAAAGTTATATGCCCTTAAAAGGGCTCAAACAAAACTGTTTTTTTTCTGTTATTGACAAAACGGTCGCAAATAAATAGAAAAAAATTATGGGTCTTACATAACTTTTTACGTTAAATAACATGGGCTACTCCGTTTTTCGACATGCAAATCATATGCGTCCCATTTAGGTTGGTGAAGGGGGTTTTCGGCCCGTAATTTTTTTATTTCATTTTTTTTACAATTTTCTCTACAGATTTATAAAACCTTTTTACGTAAAAAATATTATCTTTGTCCAAATAGATATTTCCAATGGATTTCGAGTAAATTGAGTTTGAAAATTACTCTGCTCTTTAAGTTATTAGGCCAAAAATTACAAAAATCTGTTTACCATGGCAAATAAAAGACTGACGTTGCCACAACGCTTAACAATTTTATTTAAGTTATTGATAAACTGTCAATTGAGCTTTGCAGTGTTTAATTAGTAAAAGTGGTGAGTGGAAAATTTAAGTATACAACATTATTGCAACTCATAAAATGGAGTCATATTCAAACACGGAAATGGCAGATATGCACTTTATGTAGGTACGGTCGTGCGGCTGGAAATGCATCAGAAGCGAGGCGTCTGTATATGCGGCAGCATACCCGAATAGAAGACTTCCTTGTTGACAGGTATTTCAGAGGTCCATCAATGTTTAAGAGAAAATGGTTTGTTCCAACCAAGAGTAAATTATCGTGGCAGAGACAGATTTGTAACAACACCGGTAATGGAAGAAAATGTATTGAGAAAATAAGGGATGCAAAATTCGGAATCCGCCACGATTTTCGCAAAAACCATTGGCAAGGATGAAGTAGTTGTTCGCAAAGGATTCCCCAAACTACGGAAAAACTTATGTTATGCATACGTGCGACACTTCTTACACTAACCCTTGGATTGAAATGTTTCCGTGTTTCGTTTTTGGAACTTTGTCTAGGTTACAATAAATATGTTCGAAACCTGAATTTTGTTTATCTAGTCAAAGAATTATTTGTTTCTCATGGTCATTTTTACCATGATCTGTCTTCTCTGTCTTCTTATATTTTAAATGCTGTTAAGCATAGATAGAAGATAAAAAAGGAGCTGTATGTGTTACTGCTTTTAGCTTAGTTCATTAAAGGAGATTCTCGTTTGTATATTCTTGACAAGATCATGTAAGTGCAAACAGGACAGAATGGTATATTTAATTCACGGCGGTCTGAATCTTTCACCTTCACATTCCCCCAAAATTATCAACTTCTTAGTAACAACTTCAGCGCCCTGCATCTCAGAAACGCAACACTAACGTGAAAAATGTTATATGAACTACCCTTGTAGTTTATTCGTCAGTCAACTTGTACAGAACACACCGTGCACACACTTTTCGGTAACCCAAATGTTCGGCCAAAATGCGATAAATTGATCTTTTTGAAATTATCGATTCCAATTCCATGAGTTTCCATGAAGATTTTGGTTGATTTTTCAAGAATTCATGCACAGATTTGATAGAATCTGCGGTGATCACGGATTTCGGTTGGCCAACATTTATGTTCTCACGATTGTTTTTAAACCGCATATACCACTCTTCTGCCACGGGATAAACAATCACCATCATAAACTTGGTTCATTAATTGAAAAGTTTCGGAAAAAGTTTTACCAAGTTTAAAACAAAACTTAATATTAGCTCTTTGTTCGATGCTCATTCTACCATGATAGAAACATACTGTCACTTCATACGCAACATATCCGCTTCTATTCGTCCCATGAAGTTTTGAAAGTACATCAGCGAAGGATTTACCTTTCTGACGCATGTAATTGCCAATAGATGGCTTCAATAGAACTACGTATTTTTGAAAAGTCCTGTTTACTTTGAAACGCACCTTGTATACTCATAACCGAGAGGTTATCCACTACTCGTCAGTTGTCACATTACTATTTATTCCATGTAAAAAAAAGATTTCGGGGTAATGTTTTTTATTCACTTAATTTTCCTCTTATTATCTCACATTTCCTTTTATGCTAATTATTTTCTTATATTTCTATACTTCTTGTTACTTCTCCCAAATTCCCTTTGGCCTGTGTATTGACTGTTTTAATTTTCAAGATGTGTCTTTACTGTTTAAATAAAATGAAATATCAAGTAGGAAAACTATTTCCGAATATCTTCTAGTGTCAATTCATTTTGAAAGTATGTAATTACGATTTGTGACCAGTAAATTCTCATGACATTAGCAATGACAAACAATTAATTTAATTGTCTTGACGCTGCACTCCAAGAAAAACAACCGGAAAAGCTTTAGCAAATGATTTTACACCATTATAATGCCTACTTGTGTTCAGCTAGCATTATAAAAACAGCGGTTCAATGTTCCATTGAAAAGTTATATTTCATCCACTCTATTATCTTGATTTGATTTTTCCTCTAAATGAGACAATTGACTTCTTATTTATTTTTCAATTATAATATTGTCAGGCATCGTGTAACTAATTAGATATTATCGAAATTATTAACGCCTTTTGAAATAATTGATCAATTGAACATAACAAACGTGACATATGAAATATTAATAATCTATAATATTCTGATACATTTCTAGAATCATTTATTTAGATGGTTAGGTTAGATATCTAGATCCTTTATATTAACAAAATCAACTAGTGATTAATATTTTGGTAAAAGAATTCAATGAGAGCTATAACTACTAAATTTGATAGACTGATGTTACTGATATTAACCTAGTGCGAAATAGTAGCTCCGGCTGACATTGAAATCAGGTGATTTGGCAAATTTAAATAAACTGTAAATTTGCTACTGCTTTTTTCAATTCGTTATTAATAAAAAATACATCATATCCAGGTAATTAATGCATTTAATGAATATAAGTGGAATGGAATTGGTTACTGTTTTTTTTTTCAATTCGTTAGTTAATAAAAAACACATCATTTCCCGGTAATTAATGCATTTAATAAATGTTAAGTGGAATGGGAAGTAACATAATAATTTAATAGCAAGCCCAATTAAGAATATATTACTTCCATAACTTATGATAGTGTACTTAGTGTCCTATGATTTTAGAGAAAAAGATTTATGAATAAAGGTATGAGTTGTTTGTTTAATAGGTTATGCTATAAATGATTAACATTTTGGATACTAAATATTGTTTACTAACGGTAATCGATAATGAAATAACGTTCTTCTCAGAGGTGCAATAATAAAAGTACTAAATGTTACGTACATATATACGACAGTGCCAAGAGACAATAAAGCGACATAAACTGATTTAAAAGTTACTCACCTAATACAACAATAAACCCATTTAACAAATGTTGCACACGCAATCGCCTCCTCCACCTTATCGTAGTAGCACGAGTCTGCGTTTTATCGGGGTCTGTAACATTGACGTGGACAGATTGCGAGGTTGTCCGTTCAGATTGCGCTGGAGTCACCATTCCTTTGTTGTCCTGGAACAGATGGAACTATTTGAATTTATAGGTCGATCCGATTTTTCAATTGATTCTAACGGCTCGGTAAAAATTTTCTGCTTTGCTGAATAAATGTGTAATATATATATATTAATATAATTTTAACATGTCTTTTAACTTCGTTTGTTATTTACATTTAGTATTATTTCTTTCAGTCTTTGTACCTATTTCTTCCGAAGAGGCTGTGTCAAAGCAACAGACAGCAATATGCATATGAACTAAGGCATATGTAAATAAGTCGGAGAGTTTATCCACGCTCGTAATCACGTTTCACTCGACAATTAAATAGTTAGGGTGACATTTATAACTAATAACTTGTACTTTTCTAATGCCGACGTGTTTAGCGGAGTTACATGTATCAGTAACTTATTTCCCCAGCAGCACAAATATACTGAAAAAATATTTTTTCCACATTGTAAACGACAGATTTTGACTAGTTGACAATTTAAACCGACATTAATCTACTTGTTGTATATTGGACCTCTATAGGAATTATTATTCTGACTGTAGGTATATACTGGATTATCTTTTACCAATATTGGCTAAATCTTCTAAATATTGGGTCTAGATTAGCAATGTTACCTATATGACGCCAATATTGGGCAGTTTTAAATTCAAGGCGATACGAGGTTAAATAATTGAATAAATCACAATTTGCATAGCTAATATAGTATGAGAGAAGTATACTAATCTTATTTTGCGTTTACTGTAACAATTTTTAGATTATAGATAATGCTATGAATTACCAAGTGACTCACTATAGCCAATAATGCTACTAATCTTAATAAAATATACAGTTACCTATGATTATTTTAGCCTATTTATAAAGATCAAAGTAAATAGGTAAATACTTGATTACTATTGAATAAATATTTATTTTAAATGGGTCACCAGACCATATTTTATAAAACTTTTTATCTCAGGTTGGTAAATATATCACATATAATACCATTCTCATTTATATTTATATAAGTATAATAGCAATAAATAGTTGGTGATTAAGATATTTTGGCGAATTTACTATCTCAGTCGAGTCATTCAACTAGAAAATATTTGTACATACTAAAAAAGCATAAATATTTTCGTTTAATTTTAATAAACAAAAAGAAATTATGGATTTTTTTGTCATCCAACGTTACAAACCAATTATAGGATGGGAATTAGTAGGTACATCGAAAACTATAACAGATAGAAAAATGTTAAATACGAGACATACAAAGTAAGAGTACTGAAACTCTGGTTCTCTGTGGTTGTTATTTTCGACGAAGTTGCATTCAAGGCCAAGGTGTTGGGAGCAGAACGCGGGCCCGTTTGTCTCAGTCAATTGAGACAACTGTTGTTGTAGTGGCGCATTGAAATGCTGGGATGAAAATACAATCACTGTAGTCACGACATCACTCTTTACCATCAGCAAAAAAATTCAAAACCGTTGTTTCAGCCTGAAAAATCATGGCAGTTGTGTTTTGGGACCGTAAAGAGTACCTTCTGATTTTATGTTTTTGTTAAAATTGCACACAAATCAATTGATTATAGAAAATGTTACAAAGTTGCTATATCATATTATGCACATAAAACTTTCTTCTCCTTCAAAATATTTCATTTGCTATTGTAACTTATCTTTGATCACTACTACATGTATATATTCATTTTAAGTTAATGCGTTCTGTTGGTGATTGTTCTTGTATGTTTAAGTAAGCTGACATATTCCAATTTAAATTAGATTTAAAGCTTAACCCAGCCTTCCTCTTGTTACACTAAGCTTGTTATTATTCAGAACACGGAAATTCATAAACGTGATTTATCTAAAATGTAGCAATATTTATGATGTTGACAAAGAACAGCATAACATGTTAAAAACTGATAACATTTAATTGCGTTTAAATTTGTAAGAATAATAAAATATGTTCAACGCTATAAGAAAAATAAAATTTGATTTACCTAAACGGAACTGTTAAGTACTGTATAAATTAAATATACCAAAGATGCGAAGTCCTATTATAACCTATAAACCGTCGTCATCTTCAGCAATATCTACCATATTCTGCATAGTAGGTTGCAAAATTTAAGGTGAAGTAACCCGGATTTCATTATACTGACGTTTCTTTCTCGACATATTACTTTTCAAAAAAATTCGAAACGGAAATATCAGGATGTCTGAAGGACTAAGCTGTCATTTTTTCATTACTAGTATACAGAGTTTGTACCAGTACCAGTAGTATCTAATAATTGTTATGAATTTCTTGTTATTGATTGATGCGTACCTATACATTTTGAAAATATTTCAGATAATTTCCTTGTTTTTAATTGGAAAATTCTCCAATTTTGAAATTAAGGATTTTACACCCTAAAAATGAAACCACTCGAATAAACTTTTCCTTCCAGTATCTGTCGGGGAAATTTTAAAATAAAAATATAATCTCATGTTATTGTTATTATATCCTGTATACTAAAATTATAAATCAGGTGTCAAACCACAGATGACGAAAATAGGGAATTTCTTTCATATCTCGTTAAAAAATAATAAATTATTTAATTAATCATAAATCAAGATATCTAAGTAAACCATTTTGCTAAATACAAGGGCCATCCGTTTTGGTTTTAGACAAACATTAAATCACTCTTCATTAATATTTATAAAATGATATTGAATATAAATAGCCACATAAATATGATCCAGAGGGGTTTTTTGAATGACTAACACAAAAAAGATATCCTGAATGAAGGCAACAATTTTTTTATCGAATACTACAGAGTTGCATAATACGCATTCAAATAAAAAATTCAAACATCTCTTGGGACAAATACTATATTTTTACTGTTTTCTGGGATCAGAAATGTTCATTTGATCAACTTTATGACTCCAGGCGATAACGATAAATACAAATTGTCAGCCTCTTTCAACGTCCCTTTTAAAATACAAGTCAACGACTACTGATTTAGAGCCCCTACGTTGCTGTAAGAGTTAAAAAATTGGTTCCGGGTTTTAGGTGGAAGATTATGGATTATCCGCTATATCTATATCTGAATTTAAAACCAAGTGTTTTCCGGTTTTATTTGTTTCAAAATCTTGCATTTCCAGAGTGCAAGGCCGTTGGAAGCAGCGACCAACTAAAATAATGTTCTATGAACTTGGGACACAAAAACTTTTCAATTGTTACAAAAAATTATACCTGTGAAAAGATTTGATGAGCCTTCATATAATTTAAAAAATTGTTTTGCTTTTAATTTCAATTGTATATATTGAATTTACTGGAATATATCAAATTTTAAATAATAATAATAATGGAAAAGAGTTTACTGTAAGATTTATTTCAGAAGACAAATAAAAGAATTCAATTTTCCATTATTTTTATTTATATTAAATCATGTGTGAAGCGTACAACGTCGGTAGATTGGTTGATATTTAGTTTGATTCAGTGAACTGATCCATCAATAACTTTCGGTGAATTTAACATCCAATAATATGAGACTAAGGAAATTGGAACCACAGTATGTCCAAGATAGATCCAATAACTTTTGATATTATTGTTGGGATATTCTGTAAAATGTTACAGTGCGGGAGATAAGGACTAAATTATGGAATATGGAATTTATTAAAATTACTTGATATGATATGATAAGATGGGGACAACCGATATTTGACATATTTCCTTGGAATCAGGAAATGCGAAACGGTGAAATTTGTGTGATGTTTTAAAAATAACATGACACATTTATGACGTAAATATAGTAAGCATTTGAAGATAAATTCAAGTATATACTGAAACATAAATGTCTGGAAATGTACTTGGAAATTGAAACATGATTGACCCACATTTTTGACAACATTTTGACCCTTGCTCACAACCCTATTATTAAAAAATTATCAAAATAATTCATTTTACACTTGATGTGTATGCCTAAAATATGTTTTACTTAAAAACTAATGTAATAAGACACATTTGAGCAATTGCAATTTAATTGAACAATTTTTGTTCTTCTTTAAAAATAAATTAGATATATCATGCAATATGTGCAGCTGATATCGCTTTCTTGTAGAACACTATAAGGACGAATAATATTTGATAAATACTGTCGTCGTGCCAGAGTTTCATGGTATCTACAGCTATACTCTGGAAAAATAAGAAACATTATTCCCCGACCAAAACAGGCTCAGATAGAAACATTTTATATGAAACATTTTCTATAAAATTGAATCATCTAAAGAACACCCTATAGATATATTATGCTACAATATCAACAGGATTTAGTGTCTTAGATATTTAGATAAAAAAAATCGTTTATTATTTTACAATAATAATAATTAAGTATACCTAATAAAATTTTGAACATTTTACATGTGAAAAATTTTATATTTAAGCCTGGCTTTTTATAGACAACTTTATGTAAGATAATGACAGAACAAGAAAATCCATTTAAATTATAAAAATGTTGAAAATCAAGGATTTCTTTAAACCACAGTGAAAGATCACGGAAATCATAGGCACCCATGTAAACATCGAAATGTACTTTTCTTGTTTTGTTGAGAATTTTGTAAAAATACTCAGTAATTAAGATTAATTCTTTGTTAATAGTTTAATAAAAGCATTCTACGGGGTGTGATTATGTTTATAGCATCGTATGCGATTTTCTGTATATTCATAAAGTTTGTAAAGTTCAGGAAATGTAATAAACGCAAAAAGTAAATATAAGCATTTTCCTTATTCTGAATACATTCAGGAGCTGATAATACATGTCAGCTCGCAAACTGTCTTATACCCTGGAGAAAACTTGTATAACTGGTACAGTGAGGACATATTGTTTCTAACTTGCTTAGATTTTCTAAAAACCTCGTCAAAAGACTGCTATAAATTCACTGAAAATGACGCATAAAAATGCCCCCCCTTAACATCAATCTTACAGAGACAAATACAATTCCTATTTATATATTATTCATGGAAGAAGAATATGAATAAATGCGAAGAGTACTAAATCAAAAATTTATACTATTATTTTTATTACTTACTAGTAATTTGCTGAATTCAGGACATTCTTCAGGCATTTCTCTGTTTTTAACACTAAACAACTTGCAAAGCTAGATAAACTCTTAGATACGCGAGGTGTACAGACTGAATGTCAATAATAATCTACTTATTAAAAATACACGGTTATTGATATTATGATAAGATTGTGTGAACTGTGAATAATTATTGATTACTAAGTGACAACGTTCATCGTTTACTTGTAAACTAGTTTCGCTATTTTCACCATACCAGGGTGAATCAAAATGAGTCAACACATTTCAGGGATTTGTTTGCACATGCATTACTAAATTTGTTTAATATCGATTTTATAATCAGACAATTTTATAGTTCATTGTATCTTTGAGAAATAACTTGTATTATAGTAAAATCATATTGCTCAATCACATGGTAAATTGATTAACAGATCACTACAATTATTAAATTAATATAAAGACGTTTAAATAAAAAAAAATAGTTTAGCAAAAAGAAAACACCGAAAAAAAATGTTTTAAGTTTCGTGACAGTAAAGTGTCTTTAGCTAGCCACACACGAAGACTTCCGAGCGCTAAATTGATGCGTGCCGTTCAAATATCCCACAAAAAATGTTGGTGAGTGGACTGTATCATATACATGAAAACTTTGGAGCTGTTCAAAGGGCATATGTTAAAAATGTTGGTTACTGAAGTGTCACGATCAAATATTGCGCAATTCATTCAAAAGTAGGTTAAAAATCATTAGGATTGATTTCTCAAAGTTTACTCAGAAGTGATATATGTCCATATTGTGTCCTTTCTTCTAACCATTTTTTTACGAAGAGAAACGCTTTTTCTTTTTTGTTGTGTAGGCATATAACATATCACATCAAAATATATTTTCGTTGTTTATTAAGCGGCAACGGTCCAGATTTCTAAAATGCCACGCGCCACTCCAAACCTGCTCAATGTGATTCTCTTTTGTCACAATAACAAACACTTTTGAACGTGAGATTACAAACTGTCGGCTAAATTCGCATGACCGTTTGTGGTACAATGCGCTCCTGACATGTATTGTTCAAATACTTTGATTCCAAGAGTTTGAACGTGAAAAAATTATTATTAGACATTTTATTGCCCTTTATGACAGGGAAGGGTATGTAGAATGATAATGTCAAAAAAGTAACTCGAAAGAAATGACGCTAAGATGGCAAATCGCAAATAAGTGGCAAATTTAAGTTTTTTTCACTTTTTTAACTGCTCACGAAAATCTAGACGACCTATCGGAATATTAGTCACTTTATATTGTAGGCAATTAAATTACCTACAATTTAAGGTATTTAAAGTCATATTTCACCAATTTGTCGAATACGGGAAAATCAGTTTTCGAAAATTGCGCATTATTATCGCAAAAAACGATGGATGTTGATGACATCTATTGCGTTTTGCAATAATAATGCACATTTTCGAAAACTGAGATTTCTGCGTTCGACCTTTATTTTATAGTTAACAAATTAGTGAAAAATGACTATAGGTACTCTAAATTGTAGATAATTTAATTGCCTACAACAAGAAATATTCCTACATGTCGTCCAGATTTTCGTGGGCAGTAAAAAAAAAAAAGTGAAAAACACGTAAATTTGCCTCTTATCTGCAATTTGCCAACTTAAGCGTCACTTCCTTCGAGTTACTTTTTCGATAGTATCATTATACATACCCATCTACTAATAATTTTTTCGAATTTTCAAGTTTTATGATTTAATTCGACTGGAGTATAAGTGCTTTTTGAAGTCTTGGTGTGTGGCTGGCTTTTATCGAATTCGTTTGGTTGCTTGTCTTGGCATCACCTCGGTGAGCAGTATACATACCCCCACGGAAAATAATACCTTGTAAAAAATGTTATATGTTTATGGTTCTCCTTTTTATTCACAAAATTATCCCCACAATCATGAGTAAAATTATTTTCGTATGAATTTGCAAAAAATATATTTAAATAAAATTTAATAATACTGTCCTATTAAATTATACAATTTACATCCATCTATCCACCTCTGCATTTGTAGTAGAAAGTAGTAGGTATCTATATTTTGTGAAAATATTTGTTAAAATTTATTTTACCAAAATGTTGCATTTATGCGTATAGAAATTTTTCAAAAATATATTGAGATAGATCTGGCCTTGATATGCACATGTGGTTTTTAAGCCTTTTTATATATGATTAGTTCTAGTTAGCTTTAGCCCCAAAACATATGCAGACATGTTGGTATATCCCGGTTGTGAATAATTGTACAAAACAAATTAAAATAAATTGAATTTTTTGAGAAACTGGAAAATATCAACACGCTGTCAAAATTTCTTATTAATACTAGTTAGCAGCACAGTGTTACTCTATTTAAACTTGTTTTTGACTTCAACTGATGGCTCCTACGTTCAGAAAGTTAAACATCTGGTGCTTGCAAATCGTCGATTGACTGTTAGAGAAATTGCAGAAGAGATTAGCATTTAAATTGGGTTATACCATGAAATTTTGATTGAAAAATTGAACATGGATCGAGTTACAGTAATATTTGTTGCTTATTTGAGGAAGTAAATTCGTCACTGACTTTAAAGGCAATTTTAAATAAAACTATACAAGGCTGCTTCACAAAATGAAAACAACGCTGGGGGAAGTGTGTGAATAGAGGAGGGGAGTACTCTGACAGAGACAATAATGCATACAATTAATAATAAAATTTAAACAAATTAAGTTCGGTTATTTTTTGAACAGACCTCATACTTACGTGTGTTGCTTTTGCAACTTTAATTAATACAGTAAGACATTTATAAAAAATTGTAAATATTCACAAAAGTAGATTCAAAATTTCAGCAATACTGTGGTAGCAAAAGCTTCAGTATATAGAAATTTCCATACAAAATTTATGAAATTTTGAGATTTTATTAGTACACAATTGTATGTATTATTAATTTTTAATGTATTAGGGCGACTTGATCTAAACCGGTTTATTTCAAGGAAGACATCCTTTACAACTTTACAGTTATGATAGTTTCATTATCCTTTCATATGGACAATAGATTTATGCTTGGAATTTAATACAATTTCTAATTGTAAAAAAGTAATTTATAGGTTTGACGTAACGTGTTAATGAACAAGGTCAGTCTAGGAATTTGGAAATCAGTAATTTAAGTAATTACGCATTGAAAAAATAATTACCTATTAGTCGTGGTTACCTTGTTCAAGAAGTATCTAATAGACATGTCAATTATTTAAATTATTTTTATAATTTATTATTAATTGCCTAAACTTCTGCTAAGTAAGCAAATATAAGTATTTACATATTATATAAAAATACATTCCATAGTAAGATTTCGACATAATATTTCAGGTTTATGATTTAAGGGAAAGCAAGTTCTATGGAATAGTAAGAAGGGAGGTGACAAAAATGGAGACTTCATTTTCGAAACGCCAAAAGTAAGCATAATATTTTATAAAAATCCAGATTCAGATTTACGTTACAATAACAAAAATTATTAAAAAAGTTTAACTTATTTGTTTCCATTGTTAAAATGCAATAATTTAAAAAACATTTTTTAATATTTAGTTAACCAAGTGTATTACTAGCTTGTATATTGCATTTTTAAATTGTACATGTTAACTGACGCGTTTGTCTGCTTTTAATTATATTTATATGCGAAAATAAAAGTTTTGTTACGGTTTAGTCGAAACGAAAATTTTTTCGCCTCAGGTCAAAAATAATTAAATTTGTATGAATCAATTAATTTAATTTCATCGAAGCATGTTTTGTACATTTCTAAAATATTTAAAAGGCAAAAGCATTTGCAGTTGCAATTTTATAATTAATTTTGGGTTAAATTAAACATAAAAATATATAGGTATTTGTAGAAAAAATTGCAACTCAAGATGAAAAACTTCTTCCGTTCGTGAACCTGTTAACTCGAGAGAATACGGTATTTCTATCATTGCAAAATCTACTATTTTAATTTGGCAAAGTACTCGAATGAATATTTCAAGATGAGGATAAAAGTGAGTATGTTGAATGAGATATTTCCACATTTTTATGTAAGATAGGTACTGTAAAAATTACATACCACATACCATTGTTCAACAAATATTTCCTTATGTACCTACCTACTTCTGTCTAAAGTGAAAACAATTTTCCACATAAAATCGTTATTTTAATAATAATTAATAATTTTTGCTCTCGGATTTTAAAACTAAAATTATTCCTGTCTAAAACGACTACTAGCACCACTTAACACACAAACTCATGCACCTTAAATGAGAGTCACTTTTCAAAACTGACCATTAAGATCACTTAATGTTTATTCTACACTAAAAGTTAAACAAACAGATAAACTTACATTAGCGTCAAAGAGCAGAAGAATTCTTATGTCGACTTCTGTTATGTAGGTTTTATGTTTTTTTAACTTTGGTAGTCTCCCTATGATTACTGTTATAATTATTTGTTCGATATATATTTTTATAGAATCAATCTAAAAAGTACATACTAGCTAAGTTTATTAATAATTAGGTATATGTATTTTTAACTGTAGCAATTATATAGTGCGAGTCACTAACTTGGAATATATTCGGTGTATCAAATACAAAATTATTTCATACGTCGCGTCGATTGGCGTTATAAGTAACACACCATTTTATTAAAAAAATACACAGGAGCCAATTAGGAGATATGACATATCGATGATTTTTTTCAATCACAACCCTAGTTTTTTTTGTGATTTTTCTGAAAGACGTGTAAAGTCATATACAGGGTGATTCAGTCATAATGTCATTAATTTTAAAGGAAAATAGTGAAAAATGAGTAGAATACAAATACGAAAATGCATACATACACTGAAAAAATGTATTTACAATTAATTATTCGGTTTGTAGTACGTATACTTTATTTTGACTTATTGCTTTTCAAAGCAATGGTACTTATCTATATAAACGACAATACGGCTAAAATACATACATTGATTTTGAAACCAACTGCAGAATTCAAGACGACTGAGGAAATCGGATGTTTTGCTTCAATGATCGAGCGCCCTATAGTCCGTCAGCGCGTGCCCTGTTGCGAAATAAGGCGCCGAATTAACTGAGGTAATGGGGTAATCTGCTCATTGAAACGATCGAGTAATATTTTTTTCAATTTTCTGTCTTTATTAAGCTTTCCGAGTACGTGGTTAAAATTAATGACATTGTGATTGAATCAGCTTGTATAACTACCAAAATTTAAATGCTTCTCTTAGCCGTTCCCAAGAGATAGCTGCTTAAAGATTATTCTTTTACCATTTGATAAAATGTGCCCTTATTTACTTCGATTTTTTAATGATTCCTTCCAAAATATCAATTTAAAACCAAATTTATTGAATAAAGTACATTTTCAAAAATTACAAGTGTGGTAAAAGATTAACTTTCAACCTGTTGCACCATAAGAACGATTCGGTATAAATATTTGAAATTTGGTGGTATGTATAACTTTACATACAGGGTGTGTCAGGTTTTTAATTAGGAAAATTCAACAGGCAAAATAATTCGCATAATAATAAAAAAAAATATAAATTCCCAAATTGAGAAAATATTTTTTTGTTCGTGAATTTGTGGCTAACGCGGCATGTGTATCATTTATTTATTCATACGGCAAACAATATTTTTAGATAAGTTGGTTTAGTGATTTAATTAATAAAATTATAAATTTGACACTTTCATTTGCATAAAATATATTGCAGTAATTACTAAATATTTTTTGTTTCTCATTTTTAATTAAATAGGTCATTATATGATATATGGTATTCCAAAATTAAACTTCTTTCAGTATATAGAGAGGCAGTGAAAAAATTCGTACTTTTACACCGTGTACAAGACAACTGCCTTTGAAGAAAAACCACATAAGTAATGAAATATTATTGACTACTGCCTTTAAAATTTAATAAAAATGGGTGTAGCTATCAGAAAATTCTGAAGAACAACTTGAGTCATATAATTTTGTAAAAGAAGCGAATGTATTGTATTGTAAGAATTTCTTGTTCTTTGCATAAATGTGGTTAGAAAAATAATATCGTTATTATTAAATATTACTAAAATATAATTTAAAATTATATTTATGTTTCACTAAAAATCGCACATTTTTTTTTACAATAAAAGTTATAAAACATTACATTTATGATTAGAATAAGCTTGAAATCTTGTGCTTATTACCTGAGTACTCGAACCTGGAGTCTCGCCAATACTCGATTTTTTCATTTTATTTTCTTTTTGATTAATTGTCAACTCAATTTATCTTAAAAGAATATTCACTATAACTTAGTTTCACCGTCACTTTAAATCCAAGCATTTTACTCGCCTATCTCGTTGTTAGAGCCAATTAGCAACAGCAATATGGTGAGGAAAGGAAGTACACATTTAACTTTTGTTTAGGAAGGGTTAAATATAAATTATTTGTTTGTATCGTTTCAATTTTATTAGTTACATAAGCTTATGAGCCTGTAACATATATGCCTACATTGCTGTAGATACCTACTGTTGTCTTCTGTAAACACACAAAGAGGAAACATAAAAGTATTCGTGTGAGAATATATCTGGATGAGAAATTTTGTGGAGATTTCCAAAAAGTTTATATAAATGTTTCTTGGGTAAGTATAGATACAATGAACTGATGGAACTTTCTGAATAATTATCTATGTCGTGTTGCCACATGGTTGCACCTAGGAGTTTTAAACAGGGCAGCACTGGATTATATTTCAAGAATTTATTTCTATACGGCTAGGTATTGCGAGAACGTTTTCAACCGACTCAGGAAATTATTTTTAAGTTAGATGTAACGTGATTATAATTAAAAAAAAACTATATTTATTTTTAAGATAATTGCAATTATATACAACAGCAGACAACTAAAAATATATTGCAATATACAGGGTGTAAATAAAAAATTCAGGGGGTGAAACCATGTGGAAACATAAGGTTCATATAACATATATAAAAAAATTTCCTTTGAACATCCCCTGTGAAGATACAACCGCTTAAAGAGGGTGCCAAAAAAGCAGTTTAAAGTTCTTTCTGAAATACCAAAAAAGTGGCAGAAATAAAATTAAGTAGACATTCTCTGCTTTATTGAGCTCAGCTCAGTAAAAAATTTGTTCATTTTCCCCTACAGTTGTAAGGGGTAGAAAAAGTCACCCCTAAGACTTATGTAACTTTCTTTCTTACTACTACCTTATATGTAATTTGAAAATCCATGTCAGATAGCGTCATGTATTCTAAACAAAAAAGGTCCCTTGTATTTTTTTCGTAAAATTAACGATTTCTGCAAAAAAATATTTAAAATCAATTACATGGATGATTGACATAGGGTAGAAATTTAATCGACCTGTAATTTATCTGGTAGGCGGTTATCACGTTGACATTTTTTTAATGTGTAAAATTAAATTTTACATTATGACATGCTACATAATGCGGAATCTTAATATCAAAACATATTATAAAATATGGCCACATTTTGTTGAACTAAACTAAAGAAACTTTTTCAAAAGTTGTTAAAAGGCGTACTACGATTTATTTTCAGTTATATTTATTATTTCTGTACTGTACGTTTCCAGCGTACAGTCCTTCCCACTTTGAATATTTAGGAAAAATAATAAACGTCCTAACTAAACTATATTTGGCATATCAACTGCTTGAACTGTTTTATATAATATATTGAAGTTTTAAGAAAATAACAGTTTTAATTTATTAATGGATAATATAAATAATGTATTTAATAATTTTCGATGCAATGATAGTTGGAAAATAATTTCTCTAAAAATTTTGAACGTTAGTTAAAATTACTTCAAATTTTATTACAGGCTGGTAGTAGAGGCAGAATAATGGTAAAATGTGGATATTCATTAAACAGGAATCTGTAATTATATAGTTGCCTTACGCTGTGGTATAGATGGCAGTGACAAAAACGGTTACAAGTCGTTTAATATACATGTTTTGTAATGCACTGGATTTATAATAAATCTTAAGCTGGAATTGTATGTGAATTAGAATTATAGAATCGATTTGCCTTTATAAAAAAATGCATAAACATCTACTATCCCTATTTTTTGAACATAATGATAAAAAATAAAAAAAATATGAAGTACTTTTACATATTTTTATTAATTATATTGAAAAAAATATATAAAAAAGAGGAAAACAACCGTATTCTAAAAATTGCAAGAACATTTGCATTTATTTATAAGTCCTCGCATTATGAAACATTATTTTGATAATCACATTTTATGCCGCAGTTCTTTTCCATATGGTTTGGTGATAACGGTTGAGTTGTCTGCATCAAGGTATTAAAATAAAAAAAATAAACATTTTAAGATCTTATGTGAACCATTGGTAGGCCTATGGTAATCGCCATAGGCAGATCAAACCCTTTTAACTTTATGGCACCATATACAAAGTCGGTCCTTTTGATGACTCATTCTCCTATAGAAACGTAAATTCCATGCATACCTATGTAGGTGTAACAATTATGTTTCAACTGTACTAACTCATAATGTTTATTTGATATACATATAAAACGTAGTTGCAAAAAGGCATTTTAAAATAAAATTGAAAATTGAAATTTTTTGTAAGTATACTTATCAATTTTTATTACAATTTTCGATAAGAATTTACAGGTGTCAGTGATACATAGTCACTGTTATGTTTGTTTGAAAGTGTCTGTACTTTTCTTTTTTTTAGACAGTTTTTCTAATTCAGCCAATATTATAATAAGGGGGTGTCTGCGAAACTGGTGACCCAAAATAACTTGATTAACTAATCTTGGCGTTGCTTGTGTATGGCGTCAGTTATGCCCTATTCCTTTAGTAAATAGGGGAAAATTTTGTTTGCCTTTAGATTATGGAGAGTGTGTATTGAAACTATGAAAGAACGTCCTTCAAACAAATTACCTATTTACAGTGTGGGTACACATGTTCGCAAGTGACCCATTTTTAAGTACAACGTCAAGAGCGCCAGCGAGACGCCGCCCGGACGCACCACAGGGTTCCCGGAAGACGACCCCGGCAGAGTGGCGCCAAGGACCAGGGACTTCTGCCAGCGACTACCAAGCTACCTACGACCGACTCCAAAGCCACACACAGGGACTCTCCACCAAACATTCGAACCGACAACACGACTTTTTCCACAAGCTTAGTTTTCAATAAAAATAGTTTATTTGTACCGTTGAGAGAGCGTTTTATTTTTGCTGTACAACGAAAGCAACCCTCAACAGTTTTCTAAAAAACAACTTAAAGGGAACTTATTTTGGCCACCAGTATCTCCAACTTCGAGATTTTTTAACCGTTCGCGGACACTGTATATTATTCAAAAAGGGTGTGTATACTAAAAATTATTGAAATAAATAATTTTCCGAGACAGGCCCAGTCCGCCTGTGATTAACTATATTCTAGATTTAGATTCTATAGACATAAATTTTTCTTTTTCTTGATAAAATTTGGAAGGGTTCTTTTCAATGTTATACAAATTTGTTTAATTTGGTCCAGAATAGAAAGCAGTTACACAGCAAATATATTGGTGCTATATTAACACCTCCAATGCAACAAATTAAGGAATTAAGAGTTGTAATATTTAGAAATGCAATACAGATAAAACAGATATAATTCAACAAGCTTCTTTTTTACATACGTCCTGAAGTTTTAACAAATGTAAATGATGACGAATTGTATAAAAGGTATTATAAATTTTCTCATTCACTTTATAATATTTAACGTATTATTTCATGCTATAAATAATATATTAACTGGAAATTACAGATAAATATTTCAGTAACTACTTACAGTTGATTCAGATAGCATTCGAACACCAAACAATTTTAAATAATAAGGTACTCCTATTTTCAGGGAACTTCGCATTGTACTGTAAGTTTTATGCTGACTGGACACAACTACAAGACAATGTCTATAATACACATGGTTTGATAAAATACGTCAATTGATTATCACAGTTTCCTGCGGTTATTTACATAACGGAGGAATAAACGTTTTGAAAGGGGGGAAATAACATTGCATTGGAAATGTGTCTTTAACTACAGCATATTAATAGGCATATTGGCACAGAAAAAATTGGGAAACGTTGTGACATTATTACTGACTTGTGACTTAAGATTTACATAAAAAAATGAACGAAATCTAAGAAAAATTCTTAAATTTGTTTTAAAATCATTGCAGAAATTATTCCAAAAATTGCATTGTATTTTTTTTATAATATAAACGCTGGAATGCATTTTAAATAGCTGTATTTATGCTTTAAAGTAATTTTCATTAAGCTGTAAATATCACTGCTTCTTTAAATATTCTCAGCAAATGTGATGATACCAAATACTTATTGCTTCTAACATTAGATAATATATTTTTATAAACAGATCACGTCCATATAGCTTTTATCCAGATAAATTAAAATAAAAGATCATCAAAACGTATCTAGATAACGCACAACAGTGATTATAGATTACCTGATATTCGCATTAATTTTATCGCATAAATTTGTTATTTTATTATTTATTGTATTATTTCGCTCATTAGTTTGCAAGCCCTCGAGTTAATTATATATTTCAGCAAAAAATAGGTAAAAATAAATGGCAATAAGTAATGTAGAGTTAACAAAAAAATTATTTTCTGTACAGGGTGATTCATTAACAATGGGAAAATCGAACGCTGAAGATACTACACGTGAAATGGTGACCATTGGCGCAAACATGCCTTATTCGAAAGTTGATAGTTTCGGAAATACAGCGTGTTGAAAGTTTTAAATTTTAAATCGTTTTTTGCGATTATTCTGAAAATATGTAGGTTATGAACTTGAACATTTGTGAAACTATATTTTTTTAAGCGACGAATAAGATGCGTGTTGTAATTTCAGCGTTGCTCATAGAGGGCGCCACTCACGACCAATTTTACCGAAAATTTAGTTAATAACTTTTTACCCTGTATGTCTAACATGAAACTTGATTCAAAACCTGAAAGAGCAATCATTTTTCCATTAATTATGTATTCTTGTTTCATTTCGGTATCTCGATCCGTTTTCGAGAAAAATCGATTTAACGAACACTATGTTTTGATAATACGAGAAATTAAAAGCGAAACAAACCAAGTGTTTCTTCGTGTTATTACAACAATTAACAATAAAACAAATAAAATACGTAATAATGATTTAAAGCAATTGCTCGAAGAATCCACCGTTAACACTGATACACTTTACACGCTTTCTGGGAGATCTTCGAGTTTGAAACATCATATTGGGATTGCGTCTGATTTCGTTAGATGCGATTTGTATTCTTTGCCACAACTCTATGAGCAAAGCTAAAATTGCAACACGCACCTTATTCGTCGCTTAAACAAATATAGATTCACAAATTTTCAAGTTCCTTACCTACATATTTTCAGAATAGCAAAAAAACAATTTAAAATTTTAACTTTCGACACCCTGTATTTCCAAAACTATCAACTTTCGGATAAGGCATGTTTGCGCTAATGGTCACCATTTCACGTGTAGTATCTTCAGCTTACGATTTTCCCATTGTTAATGAATCACCCTGTATACACTCTTTGGATATAGGTACCTACAAAAACAGACGATGTCAAAATGGATTGCAGTATCTACCTTACTATTTTCTAAAATTTATTTATTTCGTTTGTAAAAGTATTATAATAATACCTTTCATTTCGGATCACCCTGTATATTGTTTCTCGAATGTATTTTAAAAATTTTCTACCACATTGAATGATACATAAATACCTATATTCATATATGCATATGAAAAGGACAATAGCTATTCGTTCTCATAGTTCGTGAAATAATGCAGAATTACAAGTTGATTAAACTTTTCTATCTCATTACATGAGTCATGTTTTGGCGATCACGTAAATTTGTGGCAACGAGTGGTAACTTATTATTAATCAATAGTAGCTGTAGGTGACGGACAAAATATTCATGTGTGATAGTTTCTTTTCTTTTACGTCAAAGTATGTGACAGAATTATAAAATACATTATTTTTCTTTTAGTTAGCAATATTTTCTGACTTCTGAATATATGTAGGTTTATTTATTCCTAGTGAAATTTACTGCTTTTACCAATATACTTGTCACTTGAAGTTCAAATTTCCTTTAATTCCAAGACATAAAGTGGAGGGAACTACATATACCTGAATTTGAAATCTATATTTTCCACTGCGGGAATTCAATTAGGAAATCAGTATTTCTCTTGTTTGTTTGGCAAGATGTAGGTATTTCTCAGTTTGTTGTCACTGTTGCAATCTATGTTGTCAAACTTCTTAGTTCATGAATTTAGAAAATGCTATCAAATGAGCCATGAATATAGATCAACTTAAAAATTTGAATTTAAATAATTTTTTCACCAAGAAATAATATGACGGTCTTTATTAAACTCTCGCAGTATAAACCATAAGAAATAGATATTGTTCACCATACATTTTCTCAAGATTACTTATGTATTATTTTTGCAGATTTTTGGAATCACCTAATTTATTAATGATCTACCTTTTAGGTTTACTATTTAATATGATAAAAATAATTTCTAAAAACTTTAATTTGTAAATGCAGCGGTCAACAATTTTTGCCAGCGGAGGAATTTTCCCGTTTTATTTTATTTTTTCTGCGTAGGAACTGTGTGGTGGATCTGCGTCATCAGCACTGCTATTCTGTAAAAATGTCTCAAACCCGAGACAAGTTTAGGCCAATTGTTTAAGACCCTTAAATATAGAGTAGTGAGTGATATTCCACAAATAATAATTGATTGAGCAATAGCAATACATAACCTCAAAATGTTTTAAAATTCATATTTGTACTAGGAAAATCTATAATTAGCTCTAGTGACATTTCTTATACATCTACAAATTACAAATGTAATTTTAATTTAATTTCAAGGTATCGCAGGTTTATATATACGCAAGAAAATATATTCATCTTTCAAAAAAATTATTTATTTATTTAAATACTTTAAATTTCTACCCAGAAATATAATTTCTTACTTTAAAAATAGGCAGTATTTAAAATAAATATTTGATACTTACGGTTAAACACATTCTA